CCATTCTTGGTAGCACAAATTTACAGGTAAGGAAGCCGCTTCTCTCATTTGCATCCATAAAAAGCTGTATTGAGAGGGAAGGCTGATTCTTCTCTGTGTGTATCTGTATCTAGATAGTGTGGTTAGTGCTTATGTTATGTAGTTTTGTACTGTCCTTAGACCTAGGTTTACTGTGGGACTTCCCTTACAGGATTTATCAGCCTGTTACAATTACTTTATATTTTGTGGGTTAGCATTTACAATTCAAATGCATAATTGCTTAAAATATTAATGCAATGCAAGAGTAGAGTGTTTTAAACAGTGGAAGAACTTGTGTTAAGCATTAGCTCTGTGAATGTGTGGATGTGTGTCCCTCGGCCCTTTCAACACACCATGCAACATGCTATGCCTTTCCTCCCATGTAGGTATTCCTTTATTCCCAGGATCTCCGCATATGAAGAACCTTTCATCCTCTGGTATAAACGGCAAAAGGCAGAGCCAGCTAAGCTGTATTCCAGCTTCAAGGTTGGCTGCCAAGCAGCAGAAAATTAAAGAAAACTGGAAGACAGATGTGTTGTGCACAGATGAAGAAGATGATTTCCAAGCTGCATCCCTACTGCAGAAACACAGCGAGTGTGAGAAGCCACCAGGGAAACGTCAGTGTAAAACAAAACATTTGGCACTGCAAGAGAGAAGGAGGAGGTCATCTCTCGCTGGGGATGACATTACAGATATTGAAAGCTCTGAGGAAAAGGTATCTTTACTTTGACTTTATTGCCCACCGGTAGTTCTAAGGGTTTGGTAAAATCAGCCAGCTTAAATTCTTATATGTATTGACTCCTCCCATTTACTTTTTAAAGTGTTCTGCTGTTTTGTAGTACCCAATCTGCAGACTCCAGGATAAAGTCCCCGGCTTCCTGGGGTTTATTGTAGAGTATATTCTTTTGGATTTTGGCCTTAAACCTTTGGGTGATATAAATCCAGAAGGTGACACTACTATACTTTTTTTAAAATGAGAGGAGGAAACAGATTTTCCATGAATGGGTGGGGTGTGGAATCCAGTAATGATTTTGACAGGTCATAGTTAATGAGGAGAATCTGGAAGCGACCAGCAGCTCCTTCAGACTGTGACTTTTCACCAGTCAAATCACATGAGCAAGCACTGTAGGATTGCCTGCAGCAGCAGACTCCCTCATTATTGCCTGTCTCTTCAGCCCTCACAGCTGCAGATTGCAAGCACCCCTCAGGAGACTACCCCAAGTCGTCCCATGCCGCCAGAAGCCCGAAGGCTTATTGTCAATAAGAATGCTGGAGAAACTCTTCTGCAAAGGGCAGCTCGACTGGGATATGAGGCAAGCATTATTTCTCAAGTACTCTGCTCTGAATTAGAATGTGGGAGAGGCTAGGTGTCGTGAACAATTCTAATTGTAAGCGTTGTTAGAGTCTCCCTTTGTGCTCCTTCTGAGTGTGCTGGAATATCTTGAGGCTGCCCGTTCTGTTTCTTCATTCAAGCCCTCAATTAGTATATGTTGTGAGTGGGATTAGAGGAGAGCCCTGTAAACTTCTGCAAGTGAATAACCTTGAACGTGAATAGGTGCTTGTCTTTGCCAATCGGAATTCAGATCAGGATGTGCTGTGCAGAATTAGCATCCTGAAGTGAAGTAACGTATACAGTCATGGCCCAAATGAACATTAATGCCTTGCTTGGGGGGGGGGGGCAGATAACATGCATAGTGTGAGGTGTGTGCATTCTTAACGCTGTATTTTAAAGACATGTCCGTGAGTCATTCTTACATATAGAAAACAGTTCAGAGACAGTTTCAGAAGGTAGCCGTGCTGGTCTGCATTAGAAGAGTTAGATCTGAGTCCAGTAGCACCTTAGAGACCAACAAGATTTTGGAGTATAAGAGATTCAGAGCTCCCTTTGTCAGATACCAGTTCAGAGCCAGTAAGTCTCGAGGAGCGGCAGACTTCAGTGGGTTCTGGATTATACCTGCAAAGTGAAAATGATTAAACAAACAATGATATCTCATAGGCCTTATAATAAAGATGATGATGCGACCATGGAATTATAAAATGTAATTGGTGATGAGATTGCAATATATTTTCTTTCTTGGCTGTCTAAATTGACTGTGTTGCTCCTTTCTACCTGGAATAAAAATATGAGGTCATATAAAGATTAATAAAAAACTAGATGACCAGAAATTTTACAAAATGGCTTATTTGGTCTGAGATTCTTTTTTCAAGAAGCAGCCCACATACTGTACACTTTTTTCCTTAATTGTAAAAAGTCTGCATTAGGGAAGACAAATGGACTTAAAATAATTTAGAGAGTTGAAGCCTGTAGTGAAGGGCTAGTTATCTCAAGAAACTGAGACCCAAGTGGTAGTGATTTGTGTCTTGCTTGTTGTGTGGTAGAGCAATGTCACACCTTTTAGGTGTAAAAGCCCAGTGAAGAAAATGCCTCAGGCTGTAGATTTAATTGGCTTTAGACAGAATCTTACTCCCTTTTCCTTACCTATATAATTGGATATTTTTGAAAATTTGCTACATAATAAGTGTAGTGTAAAAGCTGAACACTGAAAATTGAGAGAAACCTGTGCATTTGTTACATGGAAATACATGCTGACTGCCTCAGAGTGTACTAGTAGTTGGTTTAGCTATGATCCATAGAGGCATCCACATACAATCTTTCAGTTGCAAAGTCACTAGGATACTGATTGTCAAGAGTGGTGAATGGGAATGTCAAGCAAATCTTTACAGGACAGTTTACTAGTTTTAGGAGACTCTTGGTTTTCAGCCTCCCCAGCTCCACCCTTGCTGGGTTCTCAGGGGGCAGGAATAGTTTTTAGAGGCAATGGCAGGAATAGATGTGAAGAATGGTTATGAGATAGGAAGATGGCGTAAGAGCTATCCTTCACCTTATTGTTCATCCATGTCACCTATGAGGAAGGAACAGGCCTGATAGCTCACCTAACTTGCATTGTAGTGATTGAGGCAACATGCTGCCAGGTGTGGGTGTGCAGGATGTTTCTGTAGGGTGAAAAATAGGAGAGGAGGGCTTCCTTCTTCTTTTCTTTGTACTTAGTTTTGTTGTACAAACAGTGAACTGATGGAGTTCATGGAATTGATCTTTCCCCTCCTTCCCCTTCCCCCTTCCAGCTTCCTGCATCCCCCTGAGAAGTTGCTCCAGAGGGGTCTGTGGACCTTTGGGAAGTGTGGGAGACAGGGAAAGGGGCTGCAGCTTGAGGGGAAATCAGCAGAAATCATCTGCCTTCTCTCTTGTTCAAGAGTTTGCATAACAGTGGCAGTCTTCTGGTTATAACTGCTTGCTACACTACCCCCCCCCCCCATTACAACTTCTTGCTGTATTTCCCTGTTCTTGAGGGATTTGACACATCTTTTTGGGATGGGAGCACTGAGTGAAAGAGGAAAAATCAGGTATATGAATATTGTCTAGTTATTATTTGTAGAATCCAATCCATTTAGTTCAGTAATATTTAAACTGTGGTCAGTGAGGCTGCAATGAAAATAGAAGGAGGAAACGCTGAGGGGCTCTTTCAGCAATACACACCAAATTAAAATTCAGCATAGTGCCTGTTCTAAATGCACAGGATAAAAAGGAAAGGCATAGACCATGGTTTATTCATTAATTTGAACATTTGCAAGCAATATATCACTATTCAAAGGAGTTTACAGCTCATCAGATCCATAAAAACACAATAAAAAAACAAATCAGCAGGTAAAGTAAAAGCATTCAAATGACAAAATGGCCAACAAACCTCATTTTTTTTTGCCCCCCCCCCGAAGGGGATTTTTTAAATTACATTTTTCTAAAGACAACAAAATCTACAATGAAAATAGGGAAAGGGAACTACAATTAGGGATAAAGAAAAGAATACCCACTACTATCTAAAATCCAAAGAGAGGAGATCCTCAAAATCGCTTAAGTACAAAGTCATTTCTAAACTCGCTAACAATTTTTTGAACTTAGTCAGGTCTGCTAATACGACTTTTGAATCTTAAATTAACTGTTAAAAAGAAAAAACCCAAAGCATCTCGTTACTATCAACCCTTTTCAAAGGCACAATACAGAGTCCTTCAGCCTTCATTTCTTCTTATCCTGTCTTCTTCGCAGTTTATAAGGACTTTTAGGAGCCGATGCCCCCTTCTCTGACAGAGAGTCCTCTCCAGAAGACCCCGAGTCCAGCTCGCCACTGGACTTACTGTCCTCTTTATCACCTTTCTCTTGCTCTCCCATCTGAATTTTCAAAAAGTCCCTTGCTTTGGAAACAGAGTCAATCTTTTCCTTTTTATCTTTAAGTTTGAAGGTTATGCCCTCTGGATACAACCACTGGTAGCTAATTGCGTTTGTTTGAAGAAAAAGGATCTTTGTATTTCCTTCTCCTTTGTCTTATTTCAAATGGGATGTCTTTAAGGATCCTGATGGTGCTGTCCCCGATTTTCAAGGTTGTCCCTGTCGTCGCTCTCAGGATGGTATCCCTCACATGTCTCTTCGAGAATCTCATTACTATTTCCCCAGGCAGATTATTCTTTTTTATATATACGGAATATGACGTATAGTCCACATCCATTTTGCTCATCAAATACTCCGCCATCAAATCTGTCACCGGGGCTAATGCTTCGCTCAACATTTGTTTCAGATTCTCTCCTTTAGATTCTGGGACACCCTGGAATCGGAGGGCCAGGTTTGCCTTCTCCATTTGCAGCTGTAAACATTTGGTCATTGTAGACAACTGTTCCTTGACGTTAGTCATGTGTTCCAGCAGGGGGGGCGCAGAGATTCTGCCAACATTTTAGCCAGCTTGGTGGTTCCTTCCGGTCTTGGCCTCTCCCCTTTCGCTTTTAAAAGTTTCTACTTCTCCGTCCTCTTCCCCGCCATCTTTTGTTGATTGTTTACTTTCGCCACAGTTTCTAAAGTCTCTGAATGTGCACTCAAATGCTTATACATGCCTTGGTAAGTTTTTCTCAACAGATTCCAATGCTTTCGCTTCCGCTCCCCCCCCCCGTTTTTCTGCTTAAAAGTTCATGTGCATGGGAGGGGACCCTCCCCCCACTCGCTTCCCTTCTCGGTCCGTGGGGTGGAGAGCTTTCTTTTTAGATTGTCAAAGACGCTTTAATCTGACTCACGTTCATATAGGTCTTCCGACCTCGCTTAGTCTCAGATTCGACCGCTCAATCCCCAGCGCTTGTCTCGGTCAGCGTCACTAGGTTCCATATAAACACTCGCAGGAGGGACCATCAGAGCAAAGAGGCGCTTCAAGTCCCCAGCGTTGCGCTGGCGAAGAGGCAACCTCTCGAAAGCCCCATGGCTAGAAGCCCTTCGCCGGGCCTCTTGGGGGGCAACGAGCCTGTGTATCCCCTCCTTCCCGCTCGTGCACAGCTCACATCCCCAGGAGTCCGGGAGATGCGACTGCTCAGCGTGCTGCCATCCACCGGAAGTCGCCAACAAACCTCATTCTCCAAATGTTGATAGAGTTGTTTTGAAGTCTCTAGGGAAAATGTGGCTTTCCTTATCTTGAGAAAGTGACTCCGAAGGACAGGAGCTGCCACCAAAAAGTCCCTCATCCTCACAGTCATTGTTCTTATGGTATGTGGTTTACACATATTCTGTGTCTTTCTTACAGATGTGCGCCTGTCACCATGTGTGCTTAGGGTAGTGCATGGTGTTTAAACATAAAATTGCCTCAATTGTGTTCAGAAAGGCAGGGATTACATTTTAACAGCCCAACAGGCATTTGGGGAATAGGTGGTGAACTTGCTGTGCAGCTATTGCTCCATTCCTTGCATCCATTCTCTGTAATGTACAAAAGCAGCTGAGTTTTTATTCTGACACATTTCAAGTGACCTCCCACAAAGCAGCCATAGCTTAAGAAGATTTTACAGTCCACTGTTAACAAGCCAACCATATTTTTTTAAAAGTGTAAGGTTTGCTGACTTCAGCTTTAACTTTCTTGACCTGCCGAGTATAATTCAGAAAGGAATATTTCAACTTGTCTTTTGTGATTAATTTTGCTTACAATTTATGTATGTATTTTAAAAACTGACTCTTATTTGTGTGTTTTTGGTATTCCCTGCTATACAATACAAGAGAGTGCTAGGAGAGGCAGTATAATTGTGAGGGAGGGGGGTTGTGGATAGGGCTATAGACAGAAAATCTAAGGTTTCCTTCATGGTTTCCCTAGAGGAATGGGGTTTGCCTTGTAGAACACATTACTGGAGGCTCAGCCTGGCCTGTTCCGTGGGGCCCCCGTGATACTTGAGCTGCAAGGGCTCTCTGTCCATAGGCTTTGCATTTCCAAATGCCCTTCTTATCTTTCTGAAGGCTGCTTTAGAAGGACTCCCTCTGGAACATTCATCTCTTTCCCCACCTCCCTTCCCCCAATTTTAAAGGGAAATACTTCCAGGATGAAGTATGCCCCTCCCTTCTGTTTTCTTTAAGTGACAGCCTCTGATGTTAAAGGCGTCTCCATAGCAACAAACTGTTTCTTCTCCCCACCCTTCCCCTCTTTCTTCAGGAAGTGGTTCTGTATTGTTTGGAAAACAAGGTCTGTGATGTAAATCACTGTGACAGGGCTGGCTGTTGCATTGTAAAGAGACTTTAGGCACTGGGTTCTTTCAGTGATTTTCTTCACTGGCTTGGATAGAGGATGATGTGCAAAATGCTCTGTAGTGCATTCATGGAATAAGGATTTATGGAATAAACGCATGGCATATGGCTGTATAGAGGCATATGTACTTTACATACATACTAAAACAGCAAATGAGACCTTCCTGCCCCCAACAAATTTAAAGATATTATTGCACCTATTAGAGAAGAGTACATTTCTTTCTCTCTCTCATTGAAGATGAGCTATAAAGTGGATTTTTAAAGAATTGGACCTTTACAAGTGCTAAATATCATTTTTGCAGCTTTTGTTGATAGAAATTCAAATGTATGGTATGAACATATGGCAGTGGTATCAGCTAAGTAGCCATGTGTCAAAATGGGAAATGGGCTGGATTTTGCCAGTATGCTTCGTAGAGAACACAATTTTGCTCTGTAGGTTAACCAGAGAAAAACAATGTTATGTTTTTGATGGCAGAATGATGTAGCCTGTACTGAAAGTGTTCTATGCTAGCTTTGCAATGTTTCTTTTCCTGGATCCCCATTCCCAGGTCCAAACTGCTCATGTGCTGTCAGCCACATCTTTTGGAATTCAACAGAGAGGGCTGAAATTTCTGTGAATTGAATAAATCATTTTTAAAGAGTTAATGAGGCATTTAATTAATTAACCATAAAACCCTACATTGTTACATTTCGTGGTTAATGACATTGGATAAAATCCACTGGGAACTTCTCCAGTTCTGTGGCAAGAAGCTGTATGCAGAATGGGTGCAGTCCATCAGGAACTTCTGCGCATATTAAATTAATGGGAACTGAGCAACTGCATGTGCCAGAGAAGGGGAACCCCTGGTAATTTCTCATTTACATACGCTCCATCACCTATATGTAAGCAAATGTTTCCCATTGATTAGTATCCGGAGACTAAGATTCTACTTTTTTAAAAACTCTAAACAGCAAACACAAGGAGGGCCCCTAACTCACTGGCAGAGCTCATGCTTTATGTGTGCAAGAGCCAAAGTTCAGTCTCTGACACTGGTAGTTAAAGGGGCTTGGAAAGAACCAAGATTCCCAGTTAGAGATTGTTGCTTTGGTGGACTAGTCAGTTTCAGTGTAAAGCAACTTCATGTGCATAAAATCCCTTAGCAGGTCAGTTTACATTTAGCAAAGTGGCAACTCTGACTGCTGTTATAAATTTCTCCCACAGCTTCTTTAGTACTATATCCTTAAACTAAAGTTAGTAGAAGAGATACACAAGAGTTACTTCTGCAACAATTGCTCTTTTGAGGTCTTTGTCACTCGCACTAACCCTTTTCGTTGCCAACCTGCTGTTTAGACTAGCAGAGATCAGCCTGGGTGTGAGGCACATTGATGCTTGAAACACCCTCCATTTGGGAAATCCTTTAAGTCTTCCCAGTTTTAAAAAGATAGACCTTGGCCCTGGTCACACTGAAGGTTTTGGCCCGGGAGAGGGACGGATCGGGGGCGCAGCAAACGGACGCGATCTCACCGCAACATCTGGGAAGCGGTGCACACCCGTCCCCGATCCGGCCCTTCAGGCCAAAACCCTGCAGTAAAAAAGAACCACCCCCAGAGGTGGACTTACCGGGCATGCCACATCAAGTGCGGCCGTGGGATCGCCGCCGCGCGCTTCGTCTGGAGCAATCCCGGCTCCCGGCCGAACTGCGCATGCGCACACATGCACAGTTCGGCTACCTCGCTCCCCTTTCAGTGGCTTCCCCCTGGCATCTGATCGTGCCGGGGAGGAAGTGCGCGGCGGCTCAGGGGATCTATGTGATCCCGCCGCCGCGTGTCTTTTTTTGGTACGGCTTTAAAAGGCCGCACTTTGCCGGTGTTTTTCCCCCGTGTGGCAGGGGCCCTTGTTCATCATGTGATTGATGTACTTGATCCCAATGCCATGTGACAGGTCTTCTTTCCTTAGCTTGGACAGACAAATTATTAGTTTCCTGCTTTCCTCTTTAACCTGGTTAGGGCAGGCCTGCTAAACAAACAGCTACATGCTGTATCTTAGCTACCAACACTGAGGGTCAGACATAGAAAGACTACAGATTATTGTGGGCTTTTCAGCAGATTTTGAACTTCAAGGATAAGGCTGCTGCACTGGAGTAATGTGGTTTGTGGATCTTAGTAAGTAGGCTCTGTCTCACAAAAGCTTGTTCCATAATAATAGTTAGTCTTTAAGGTACAATAGGTACAATGTTTTCCTCTTTCTCTCACTTTTTAATTGAGAAAGGTAATGGCTATCCAGTTGTTCTGTGAAGGACCTCTGCTACTTACTCTAGCCTTGCATTTTTTTTCAATCTCTTGGTGCAAATTGAATAGGACATCTTAGGTTGGGGAGTGACGCTCAACAAATTTCCAGAGCCTTCATATTCCAGTTAATTGACAATCATGGAAGTAGCATATTTTCCAGCAAGGTTAATTGTTCTGAATGTCCATATCGTCTCTTGCCATGGCTAAATCAGAAAAACGTCTGCATGAAAATCCCTGATCAAAATATATCTTGCCTCATAAGGTAGAGATCCAGATGGGTAGCCATGTTGATCTGAAACAGTAGAACAAACTTTGAGTCCAGTGGCACCTTTCCAAGGTATAAGCTTTTGTGTGCAAGCACACGTCTTCTGAAGTATCTGAAGAAGTGTGCTTGCACACGAAAGCTTATACCTTGAATAAAACTTTGTTGGTCTTAAAGGTGCCACTGGACTCAAACTTTGTTTTATTGCCTGATAAGGTGTTTTTATGATCCTTAAGACATCTAGTCAATGAGAGAAATTTAGAGAAAGGCCATGGTCCATGCAGTACCTTATCTATGCTGCTTCATCTTGCTCATAGTCTATTCCTATCCAACATCAACATGTTGTGAATTAACTCCTGCTACAAGTATACACATTCCAAGGGTGAAAACTCACCTCCAGAAAGCAGCCGAGGCATAAGTTGAAAGTTGGGAGTAACTGTAAGTTTGTTAGAACAAAGTTTGAGTCCAGTGGCATCTTTAAGACCCAACAAAGTTTTATTTAAGGTATAAGCTTCCATATGCATGCACACTTCTTCAGATACCCCCGAGCGTACCTTGAATAAACCTTTGTTGGTCTTAAAGGTGTCACTGGAGTCAGACTTTGTTCTGCTGCTTCAGACCCACATGGCTACCTACCTGAATCTATCTTTAAGTTTGTTAATTAGTAGAAATTAAGATTTCAGTGTTTTTCATAATTGAAATATACACTCTCCTTAAAAAAACTCTTCAAAGCTGCATTCATAGACAACTACTAAATCAGTACAGTAAAACTAGCAGCAGTTAACCCATTTTTCTGCAAAACATAAGAGTGAGCCAAGACAAAGCAAAGAGTCTACCAAAAATACAGAGGTATGAAAAAGTATTTGCTTTTTAATAGTTAATATGCAAGACACCAGAAAGCAGTTCAGTTAAATAGAAGAGGAAGCTAAAGTGTTTTCTTAAGGTTCGGAAAGAAGAGAAGGGTTTATGGTTATGCTTTTAGAGACTAATTACATTATATTTTTGCTAGATACCAGTAAAATATGCACAGAGGAAATCCAGAAAATTAGGGTCACAATGACAACATTGAAATGTATGAGTTCAAATTGTTTCCTTCTTCGGATGAATGTAGACTTATTCCACCACAATCTAGGCATATTCCAGAAGACTTATTTCCAAGTAAATCTGTTGGGAGCCAGTGCTGTGTGAATATTTAAATCTTCCTTCTGAGCTAAGGGGTTCGTTTTGTTTTTCAAAGTTTTTGACTTCTTCAGCTGAGATTAGAACTTCTTCCCTCCTTTCTTTTGTAAGTTGTTAATAGCCCAATCACAGGAGTATCCTCATCATGCTAAAATAAAGGTATGCATGTCTCCACAGCAACAAATGACTTGATTTGTTTTCTCCTACTTCTCTTTTCCAGGAAGTGGTTCTGTATTGTTTGGAAAACAAAGTCTGTGATGTAAATCATCGTGACAATGCTGGTTATTGTGCCCTGCATGAGGCCTGTGCCAGAGGCTGGCTGAGCATTGTGCGACATCTCCTAGAATATGGAGCCGATGTTAACTGCAGCGCTCAGGATGGAACTAGGTTAGCACCACTCTGATTAGTAAGATTAAACCACTTCTGTTTCTGCCCCACATTGATGCACAGCTGTGTTAATATTGACAGTGGGTTTGTAACTATATTTAATGAAATGCCTCAAAAGTTGAGGAATACCTGCAATTCTGTCACACTTACTTGGGACTAAGTTCCAAAGAGACCATGAGGCGGTTAAAAGAGAAGATACATGTTATCCTAGCCTTGTTTATGCATCCCATATGCCTTTTGTTCTTTGAGAGGGTGCGTGCAAAAGCCCCCACATAATTTAAGTCTGTGTACCACAGTGCTTCCTTTTAGTCTGACTGCTTTGTGATGTAGAAAGCTTGCTTGCTGACTGTAATTGTTGTATGTGCTGACCTTCATTAACCTACTATGTTTACTTGCTTCGTTTCTCATGTATTTATTTATACATACCCTGCTTTTATCCCCATTGTGGGAGGGTCTCAAAGTGACCTACAATATTGGTCTCTACTCCTCCATTTTATCTTCACAACAACAACAACAACCCTGTGAGGTAGGTTAGGCTAAGAGAGTAAGTAACCCAAGATCACCCAGTGAGCTTCCATAACAGAATTAGAATTTGAACCTAGGTCTCCACACTCTAAGGGCTGCTGTGGCTTAGAGGTTAAGACGTTGAGCTGCAGACCAGAAGGTCTGTAGTTTGGCAGTTCGAGACCCTTGTGCTGTGTGACGGAGTGAGCTCCCGTCTTTGGCCCAGCTCCTACCAACCTAGCAGTTTGAAAGCAAAACATTGCAAGTAGATAAATAGGTACCGCTTTGGTGGGAAGGTAACAGTGTCCATGCGCCTTTAGTCATGCTGGCCACATGACCACGGAAACATCTTCGGACAGCACTGACTCTATGTATACATATATATATGTATGTATGTATATATGTGTATATATATATATATTTCCTCACTTGCACACCGATGTAAGATTTGTTTCAGCTAAACAGTCAGCCTACCCAGATACTTAATATAATATGAAATGTTTGTAGCATGTAATGCTTACGCTGATATGAGAGCAGATGCACGTCCTCCCTTGAAAATGTATGGAAACTTAAAGTGGAAATGCTGCAAACACTTCTTTTCTACAATATGTAAAGCTGCTGTAAAATAATTCCTTTACTTCAGGATATATTAACTGTCATGAGAGCAAGGATGGTTTGTCCAAGCCTTTATCCTTTTCTAATATTGTAGTGAAGTGTGTAGCAGTCTTTGGCACAGTATGCAAAACACTTGCTAGTAGTACTACTACCGGGGAAGCCATATAAGCAAAGATGATCTTCCTTTAACATATGAACTGAGCCTAGCAAGGTGAGAGAGCACTTCTTTCCATAGGCTTTGCTACAATTCCTGCCTTTTCAAGAAGTAAGATCTGTGAAAGAACAGAGCAGGGTCTTTGTGGTAATGGACTTGACCCTGGAATATCTTGCCTGCATAAGGCCACTTGAATCCACCACTATAAATTTTTAGAAAGGCTATAAAGTGTATTTACACATTTACCAATATCTTTTTGGCATTAGAGATGATGTAATTCTTCCCCTCTTGGCTATGGTAGCCAGCTGAACAGCTTGTTAGTTTTCTTGCTGGGGAAAAGGTACATATCACTGTAGCCATTGAGACTAGGGCCACATGTGCTAGTTGGTAGGGTTGCCAATCCCCAGTTTGGAGCTCCTCCCCCACTTCAGGGCTATCAGAGATTTTTTTGGGCGGGCATAGCTGCTGGGCACTCCATTATACCCTATGGAGACCGGTCCTCATGGGGGATAATGGAGAATCGATCTGTTAATATCTGGGGCTCGGGGGGGGGGTTGTTTTTTTGAGTTAGAGGCACCAAAATTTCAGCATAGCTGCTGGTGCCTCTCCTCAAACACCCCCCTCCCAAAGTTTCAAACAGTTTGGACCAGGGGGTTCAGTTCTGAGCCCCAAAAGAAGGTGCCCCCAACTTCCATTATTTCCAGTGGAGGGAAAGCATTAAAAGGAATGCAGTCCCTTTAAACATGACAGCAGCTCACCTCCCCTGTCCCGGACCCTCCTGGTAAGCCCCTGTCCGCTTGTTGGCCTCACATGGCAACCCTAGTTCAGTGCTGTTGGGAAATGAGGTTTCTTCTACCTATTTCCCCACAGCACTGCGGTGCATTCATGCACCTCCCAGGGTTTTCTGGCTGTTCTCCGTTCTTTCTGAGACCTGCTTTGCTGTGAAGTTTTGGGCAAGACTGCAGTAAAACCTGGATGACTACTATGTAGTTGGGAAGGTTTGGGTTTTCCTGCCCACATGGTAGCTGTTTTCCTTGACCCTATCCCCATGGTGGCCATTTTTCTCCCCCTGCCACTGTGTGTGTGTGTCTTTTTGTTATATTGCATCAATATAATTTTAAAAGAATAATAGGCGTTATCAGGTTGTCTATATTCCCAGCTTTCATTTCTTTTCTTTTTTAAAAGTAAGTCTAGCGCATTCTTTTGCAGAGATATGCTCCTTGGAAAGGCATATCTTTGCAATGAAATGAGGCTTGGGGGGGTTTGTTTAAAAAAATGAAAGGTAGGACTTCAGGGAATATAACCATATTTAATTGCCAATTTTAAAAAAGTAGCTGAAAATGCCCTGGTGTCCTATGTGTGTCTGTGGGGCAAGAAACCTGCAGGGAAACCTGCCATGTGCAAACTCTGCTGCCACTGCACTTCATCAGTAGTCACAGAAGCAGTGGGTAAACCACACAAGCCTGTTCCTGCATGGAATCCACCTAGAACTTCAATGCAGAATGAAATCTGTCAATCCAAAATGTACAATCAACAGGACAGTTCAGTTATTTTAGTTACGTCAGCTATTATATTAGTGCTTAGGTGTTAAAATTTAGTTAGATGATGCATAGAAAAGAAAATCAGAATTTATTTGGTGGGCTAGCTGCTCTGAATTTTAGAAAAGTAGAGTATGAATCTTAAATCTCACAAACTATCACTGTCCCAGGGATATGCCTAACCAGCACCGACTTGTGCTTCTGATTACACATTTATTGTTTTGGTAAACTGCAGAGTGATCCTTCCTGTCTGGAATGACATTCCAAAGACTTCCATAGGAAAGAAAATAATAGTTTTCTTAATTTCTAACTTATTTCTGAGAAAGACAGGCATGAGATGTGACAACTTTTTTCCTTCATGCTGTTTAAAATGTTGTGATAAAATTCTCAGGTTATTATACAATAACAAATTCACATGCTGAAAGGAGCTATAATGTCACTCAAACCCATACTGACTTGGCTTCAGTTGGCATCTGTTTTGGATTTGAAGGATGGAAAGCCATAAAATGAACCACTCCTTTGGCCCTTGATTAGTGCCACTTCCCTCTCCCCTTTCCTTGATGAAATGTCTTGTAGCAAGGAATGTTGCTGCTGGAGTGTAGAGAACATGATCACGATAGCATGAGTGGCAACTGTGTATGTTAAAGTATGGGGGAAATTAATATGACATGTTCTATGGATGTTTTTATTTTGATGGGGGGTTCATCTCATAATAATGGTAGACACCATAAAAATTCATTGAATGAAAAACCAAACAGCCCAAAGTAATTGGATTCATTTGTTGGAAAGTGCATAATGCTTCCTGCTCACTTCAGAGCAATCTTCCTGAGCAGGAAATACTCAGCTCTATTTCAATATGGTGTTGTTGTTGTTGTTCAGTCACACAGTCAAGTCCGACTCTTCGCGACCCCATGGACCACATCAAACCAGGCCCTCCTGTCTTCCGCTGTCCTCTGGAGTTTGCTCAATTTCATGTTCATTGCATCGATGACACTGTCTAACCATCTCATCCTTTGCTGTCCCCGTCTTCTTTGACCTTCAATCTTTCCCAGCATCAGGGTCTTCTCCAGTGAGTGCTCCCTTCTCATTTGGTGGCCAAAGTATTTGAGCTTCAACTTCAGGATCTGGCCTTCCAGGGAACAGTCAGGGTCGATTTCTTTTAGGATTGACTGATTTGATCTCCTTGCAGTCCAAGGGACTCTCAAGAGTCTTCTCCAGCACCATAGTTCAAAAGAATCTATTCTTCGGCGCTCGGCCTTTTTTATAGTCCAACTTTCGCAGCCATACATGACTACTGGGAATATCATTGCTTTGACCATGCGGACTTTTGTTGGCAGGGTGATGTCTCTACTTTTTATCATGCTGTTTAGGCTCGCCATCGCTTTCCTCCCAAGGAGCAGGTGTCTTTTAGTTTCATGGCTGCTGTCACTGTCTGCGGTGATCTGGGATCCCAGGAACGTGAAGTCTGTCACTACTTCCACGACTTCCCCTTCTATTTGCCAAGGAGTGATGGGGCCGGATGCCATGATCTTAGTTTTTTTGACGTAGAGCTTCAAGCCCACTTTTGCGCTCTCCTCTTTTACCCTGAGCAAGAGGCTCTTTAGGTCCTCTTCACTTTCTGCCATCAGAGTGGTATCGTCTGCATATCTGAGGTTGTTGATCTTTTCCCCAGCAATCTTAATTCCCGCTTGTGATTCATCCAGGCCAGCATTTCGCATGATGTACTCTGCATATAAATTAAATAAGCAAGGTGACAATATACATCCTTGTTGTACTCCTTTTCCTATGCGAAACCAATCAGTTGTTCCATATCCGGTTCTAACTGTCGCTTCTTGACCCTTATGCAGGTTTCTCAGGAGACATGTGAGGTGGTTTGGTACTGCCATCTCTTTAAGGACCTGCCATAGTTTATTGTGATCCACACAATCAAAGGCTTTAGCATAGTCAATGAAGCAGAAGTAGATATTTTTCCGGTACTCTCTTGCTTTCTCCATAATCCAGCGAATGTTGGCAATTTGATCTCTAGTTCCTCTACCTCTTCGGGGACAGCAAAGGCCACAGTAGAATCCTGGCTATTTTTCTGCCTCTTTGCCACAGTGCTTCTCTCTCCCCCCCCCTCCCATTTCCTGTTGCTTTTGACAAGGGATATTGCAGTAACTTCTATCATGATACATACAAGATCATTATATTCTTTCTGTGCAGAAATTTAAAATGAATATACAGAACTATGTCCTCCACAGAATTATAATCCAACATTAGAACATAACTTTTAAAAAACGTTGTGTTTAATATATCCTGTTTCATCCTCTGCTCCTATAGCCTGTTTCCTAGATTTTGAACTTGCTTCCCCTTATTTTTCATCATATCTTTTCTGTACACCAGCTGTCTTGCTCCAAGATGGAGCCTGTCTGTTGGATCAGGAGATCCAGGCAACTTTTTTAGCCACGTGTGTGTGTGTGTCTGTGTCTGTGTGTGTGTGTGTGTGTAAAAAAGATTGGGTTATGTGGCTTGAAGAGCAGCTGTTTCCTGTTCTGGCTGCCTGCAACAGCTGAGAGAGGAAGCAGTTCTTACAGGCCTTGGGGCTGGTGGGAGGATGAATGAAGCTGCTGCCCGAGAGAGACAGCTGCTCTTGAGAGTGATGTGATCTTCATAGGCAGAGAGCCGAGGAGAAAGAGTAGCCAGACTGATAACCCTGGCCAAGCTCACCCCCTGCAAAGGAATCAATATAAGCACAGCAGGTCTTTCACTGTCTCTCATGTGCTTAGCCAGAGCAGGTGTGCATGGCTTGTGGGTCTGGGTATACGCAGCTCCTGTACTGAAAACCCTATTTAAAACTTGGGAGAAAGTACATATTAAGCTCAAATTGTACAGGTTTGCTTGATATATCTTGCCCTTTCTAGAAATGGCATAAACTGGAAGTGCCAAAACTTTGTTCTCTAATGAACAGTGAGTTTGTCATTTGTTGTGCTAGTCACCAGTCTAAATTGCATAAATAATTTGCTGTTGCCCTTTGAGCTGTATGATGCCCACATATACCTCTAAAGGTCTTTGTGGAAATAGAAGCATCTCTTCATTACAGTAGGGTAAATGTAACTTCAGGTTACTAAGGTTGGTGGCTTAAGTCCCTTGCACTGTTGTGTTTGACCGGTATAGTAAAGGCGTAGAAGATACTGAAAGTATAGTATACAACAAGTATAGTATATACCAGGTTTTTGGCAATTTCGTACCCTTGGCAAATGGTGAATGAGCATCAAGGACTACAGTCTTAATTATAGTTTAGAATAAGTGAATTGTCATTGTTGCAACTGCCATAAATTCATCTTGTAACTGGTACTCCTTAACTTGAACTGAGAAACAAACTAGCTGCCAATATATCTGTTAAAAATAGACAAAATGTTTTCCCTTCATCTGTCCACAATAGTAATTGGGCTGCTGCATTCTGAAGCAGTTGCAATTTCTGATCTGTCTTCAAGGGGAGCCCTTTATGGACCATGTTACAGTAGGTTACAAAAGCATGAATTAGCACAGCCATATTGACAGAGGCTAAGAAGGAGAAGAGCTGGTGAACTAAATAAGGCACTCTTAGTCATCCCACCAACCCGCTTTTCAAACAGCAAGGCTGGGTCCATGAGTGTTCCCAAGCTCTTCACCTGCTTTGCAGATGAGAATTTCATTCCATTCCAAAGAATTGGGTATAATCTCTCCAAAGCATCAGCCTTCCTGACCAGTATCACCTGCATGTCTGATATTTATGTATCTGCAGATGCATGTAGGATTGAAGATCCCTTTTCTAGAGTTGCATAATCTATTAGCATTTTGGGTAGCATTATTTATGGTTATAGTTGTGAGAAAGCACTTTTAATTTCAAATTGGTTTCAGGTAGTCATTATGTACACTTGTGAGCTTCCCTTCCCCTTGAGTCACAATGCAGAGGCCTGTAATATTTTTTGCACATTCTTGAATGTTATTGTAGCAAAAGCTATAACTTTTTAGCAGATTATAAAAATATCAAGACAGCAATTTGTTTTGCTTTTTTGATGAATAATATTTTGCAAGTCAAATGTGTGTGTATGAATACTGTGATGTGAATACACAAGCTATTGCTTAGACCTATTTTTAAAGCAACTTCAAGGTATCAAGCATGGAACTTCTTACAGAATTTGATTTGGACAACCTCAATCAAAGGACAGTGAAATTAGTCTGCCTTCTTAGGCCTAGTCAATGATGTTAAAATGGCTTCTATCTGGAACAGTATGACAGTTTGCTGGACACAATGTCTACAGCTGGATTAAACAAAAAGAACAAAATTTCTGCAAAACAGCATCTAAAATGTTCAGGCTTACTCTGAAGCAGGATTGCTATTCAAAATGGTGTTTGCTTAAACAGATGGAAGGAAAGGAAGAGATTTGACTAAAGTGATCACAGTGGAGATTAATGGTTAACTGCTCCCTGTCTTTAAGGGAGCATTCTGTTTTAATATTGTGTGTGCATATGCATCACAAAAGCTAAAGTTAACTTCTTGTTCTAAAATGTGGAGAAAAGCAGTTAGTATAATTTGTCCCCCATAGTGATTTATGATAAGAATAATTTTAACATTTGCCACTGTAAATAAAAACAAAATACACCTCAGTACCTACAAAGCATGAATAGGAAACGGTTTTCTTTTTCTAGGCCCATCCATGATGCTGTGGAAAATGATCACCTAGAAATTGTCCGATTGTTGCTTTCTTATGGCGCTGATCCAACACTTGCTACGTACTCAGGTAGAACAATTGTGAAAATGACACACAGTGAACTAATGGAAACCTTTCTAACAGGTGGGTGATTCTTTTGCTTTGTTTAAAGGTGCCTTTCGCTCCCAGTGTTTACTGTCTTCAGACGACCATAGTAAAAATGTGTTTAATATTGTGGCTGCTAAGGAAATGAGTAACAGAAATAAAAACTTTATTTATCAGACTTCAAAACACAGTTATGAAAAAGTAACCACTGTATGATGTTTTCCTAAGCACTCTTACTAGAGAATTGGCTTACCAAGTACCTACCTCGAATCGGTGGGGGACTCATACGTCTTGTCAGGAACATTCCCGTGCGGAAAACAAACATGCCGCACCATGCCATCGCCCAGACATGACGCTAGCATGCTGGGCATGTAACTGGGCGACGCTCTGGCAATGGAGCTGGAAACTCGGTGGTACCATCGAGTTTCCAGCTCCATTGCCAGAGCGTCACCCAGCTATGTGCCCAGCATGCTGGCGTCACGTCTGGGCGACGGCATGGTACGGCGGGGGGCCGTTTCACCAAGGGGTGTGTCGGCTGGTCCCCTGCCAATTCGAAGGTAGGTACTTGGTAACCCTACTAGAGAGTAACCACTATTGAACATGGTGGGACTTAATTGCAAAGTAATATGCTAGGGGTTGTACTGTTTTGCTGTTAGATATAGCTTGGTTTAATCTTGTGTAGTTGGTGAGAGTGAAGTTATAATGTCTCATCCAGATGTTTTTGCCAAATTGAAATGCAAGGAAATTGTGGCCAGAAGGCAGAGACTTACTACAATGCATTTGGGGA